GAAGTTGTCCTTCAAGCGTTGTGTGTGGACCAATCGATCAACCGATAACCGTCCGGCCAGAAATTCATTTCCATCGGAGTCCTTGACTCTTTTACCGTTCCTGCTTCCGTTCCTCTAACCGGCCAGAGAACCGATCGATTGATCGAATCAGCGATTTCCGGGATGTGCCTTTTTACAGAGTTCAAGTGTCTCGGCGAACTAACCGCTAATACAAAAGGGATGCGTACATCGGCCAACGTCAGGAGCAATAATTTCCTTCGAGCGGAAATTCCCTCGAGCTTTGCGAGTCTACTTTGTCGTTTGATGTCGAATCTCTCTATTCTAATCTACGTTGAATCCACGGAGATGATCTTTCTCCACGTATTATTTATTGTAAGATTAATTGTGAATAAACGTGCACCGTGCGAAAAGGGAATAAACGTGGAATATCTTGGATAGAAGAAATGTTTCGTTGCAAAAATTTTACGGTGATTATCTTTCATCGACAAAACTTTTTTTCTCTATACAAAAGTGAATTTTTATGATTGTAAATTTTTGGAATTCTTCGACAATGTTTTGTACCTTGTTTAGACCTTATCACAAGGACCGATTAAAATGTATTTCTTAACAAGGTTCTTTTTTGGTTGCTATCGAATTTAAGTTCATACTTAACAAGCTATTTTAATACTGTAAACCGAATGAATGATTATCTGATGAGAATGATAAGTTATCGTTGATAACATAACACCACTGACAGAGACTAACTTTGTACATTTTACATAGAAATATGCAGCTACCTCGCTTCGTCAAATGAAAATCTTTATTATTGATTTAACTTTTTTTTTTAATTATTACTTGTATCTACTGTTCCATTCAATTTTTTCAACCTTAACCAGTGCATTTGTACAGTACAAATGAAACTTTTTTTTTCTATATTTCACTGAACACCACTAAATCTGAAAATCCAGGAAATTCACGTGTTAATTCTGTATACGCCAGCAAGATAAAAGTTCATATAAACAACTAACAGTTTCTCCTCTTCATGGACAAACTTTTCAAGTTAACAAAATGTTTCACATTTCGTTTAGTTATTTATTCAATTTCAACAGATAATAAGTACGTAAAAAGGAAAGCGGCATACGACCGTATCGCTTTTTCATTATACTTTATTAAATCAAATCAACGAATTCCTCACGTTTGAACAACATTCCCAATTTAACAATCCACAAGTTTCAGTATAGATTTCTCTCTGCAGCAAAAGATTAGTAGGTCAATGAGTTCAGACTGTCCTGAACCACATATGGATAAACCAACGACAAACATGTTAACGTTGGCTGCGTACGTGAAAGAGTATAAATATAATGTAGATCTATCTTCGTATTTCTCTAACTAGTAATATAATTTTGTTTCAGAATCTGACCCTTCTCCTCTGAACTGTTCAATCTTTAATACAAAAGAATACATTCCTTTTATAACAACCACAGTATCCCTGCCCCCATAACACGGAGATACAAATTAAGTTCTACCGACATTACTTTTTCAGTGCTGGAACAGTTTCTTCGTCGGTTGAATTTTTTTCAGCTTCAAAATTTGTTTTTTTTTTTATCGCAGCAGTAACAATTTTTTTTATCGCGGAGATCCTACCTGCAAAAGCAGTGAAACAAATTAGAACGTCGTTGACTCTGAAACGATATGAGATTTATATTTTTTTCTTTTTCCACTTGTGCAAGATAACTCTCATCGATTGTTTCGTGTGATCGTCGCTCGATAGAACCTGTATACATATACACAGCGCAGCGCCCCGCTTTTTTTTTAAGTCCGCTCTCGAATATACGAATCCCTGGAAGAAGAAAAAAAACGCATTAGAATTTACCGTACGCGCAACACCCAGGGTTCTTGAACCCAGCAGCAGTCTGTCGTAGGAGTCGCGTCGTTTGCTTACGAGTGAAAGTTTGCGAAGAAAGCTGCGCACCGGCTTATCCTCGGCCTGTCTCTCCTGTGCTCGCGCGCGCGTCCAAACCGGAGAGACACGCGACAGTCGAAGCCAGGCGAAACCGGGTTCCTTCTAGGAAACGACGCTCGAGGCCGTTGACACTCGCTCGGATTTTCAAGATCGTGTGCCAGGCTCTCTCTTCCTCGTTTCTGCGTTTCTGCCTTTTGCAACTTACCGCCGCGCCGGCGAGTCACAAGCACTTACTCAATGGTGAATCGATGAAAGTACGCCGGACCTATGGCCAACAATACGACATGGATCGTTGACTTGTAAAGGATGATGCAAGTTTTGTAACGACGAATTTACGGAACGCCGAATCTGCTGATTTTCTTGGCTCTCTTACCTGGAGAAATTTGGCAATCATGAGCAATCGGTGGTATATTGATAACTTCGCAGTCGTTCGCAGTCTTAATGGTGGACGTAGAAATGGCAGACATATGTATCTGCAGATATGTTTGAGTTATAATTTGAATTTGATGGTCGGTTTTGACGTGGAACATACGTTTTACCGGCAGATGTCTCGATTGTGCGATAAAATGCTAAAATTAGAAGAGAGAAATTTAATCGATTTACAGAAATGAGAAAGATTTTAGCGAACGACTAGTTCCTCCACTCGTCTTTTGATAGGTTAGGTTGATGTGTAGATGGTCTCCTGGAGTGAATTATAAAAATTTGAGATTACCGATTGATAAAGCCGTTTGTGGGTCTTTGATTCTTTTGACGTTGTTCGTGAATTTGGTATTAACTAATATTGGACACGATGATGTATACCCTTCTGTGAGAGTACAACTATCTTATTAGTAATAGATTGTCCATAAAAAATATTATATAAAGATATATATTTGCATTATTCAGTAATTCTAAAATAGATCATCATATTCTCTTGTATTTTCTTAAACTCTTAATTATAATTATTGTATCCTCTAATATATATTTTTCAAGAAATCACCTATAAGGTTTTCTTCTCTCTACACGCGTGTACTTCCCCGAACGGTAACGCATTACGTATCTTCAAAATGTCTCGGCTAATATGAAAACAAGCATCGTCGAAAGCTTGAAGTTGCCCAAGCCCAAGAATATTAGGTGTATACACACACTCTCACCAACCTGTGTTAAATGTATTCTAAAAATGTTACTGTTGGCAATAATTTGATTTCGAATTTCGTCCGACACGCAACTTGATATTACAAACGATATTTAATTCAATTCGTTTCAAATACACTTCAACAAATCTAAGCAATCATACTGTACAACTTTTCAGAATCATCTAAACAAACCTACAAACTCTCAATCGTTCTCCTTAGTAATAATAAAAAAGTGACATTTTCTTGTTATGTCGAATCAAACGAATTATAATATTATTAAATCATTTTCATAAAAATAGTACTATATTCAGTACTAAGAGAGGCAGGTTACTTTATTTGAGTTGAACATAACCAGAGTGCCATGCAAGTTTATAAGTATGTATGTACCTACAAACTTCCACTCTATGATATTCATATTCACTGCTCTTTCGTTAATCATCTCCAGGAATCAAACAAACAAACAAACGAAAAGGAGGCATTCATGCCCGTTGCGTATCAATCGAGTATCGTAATTGACGTGAGAAGGAACATCGTGGAAAGCCTAAAGTTACCCAAGAGTCATGAATATTACGTATACGCGTTCTACGACTTCCGCGTTGCAGGTTGATCAACTGGCGGCCTCCGGCGGCGGCACGTACAATCTCTTTTCTTTCACCAGTGCTTTCGTCGTGCCTCGTTCCACGACGCCTCGCTGTGCGATGGGTTACACCGCGATGGCTCAATCGCGATGTCGTCCTGTTGCTAAATTTGAAATACCTCATACGTAAAAGGTTGCGTACACAAGGCGTCATCTTCTCCTTTTTCTTCTCGTTACCATCGACTTCAGTGTCACATCGAAGTGTTGGTAAAATCCGAAAAGGCATGCTGATTCTGGACAAATACAATAAATCTAGAGCAACATTCCTGCACACGAAGCATGTAATTGTACTACTGTAAATAAGGAAAAAGGGACTATGAAACAAGGTATTTTCTTGCTCAAGAATTGCATTTTAATTAATAAAAAAGTGTTAGAAAAAACTTATTTTTCTGCCAATATAGTAGCGTTCTACATACTGTATTTTCGTGAACATGTTCGATCTATGCGTAAACAAAATTATGTACGAAAAAATGTTACCGTACAGTTTAGATTTATTTTCGTAGTACAGGATCACTCTCTTTCGAATTTGAACATCGGTTCGATGATACCTTGTACACATCGTCTGGCCGATGACGCGATAGAATCGGGAACGACCCGAGAGTTGGACAACGATCCCAGTTTATTCTTCGTAGATGACGCACCCATCGAGGATGTATGTAGAATGAAATCAGGCACGATGTTTCGATGGAAAGAAAGCGTTGATTTAGCGCTATTAAGCTTTGATATCCCATAATCCCATATTTAATTCCAAGATATTCAGTTCCACAATAGCGTTGAATAAATATGATAAAGTATATTTTAGAATTTCATGTTATACAATAAACATTCGTTACATTGGATTTTCAATATCGCGTAACAAATGATTATTTATCAAGTAAACAAGAATTTGATCTTACCTTTTAACCAGAGAAGTCAAGTTAACTCGTCGCTTCAAAAAACCTACTTTTTACGTATATTGATTATTTTTTTATAAGAATCTGTGTTTTATCATTATATTTGCATTAGAAGTCATACATATTCGAAGAAGTCACATCTACTACAAAGTAATTTTCCTCTCCTGTCATTTGATAATACTCGACGAATAAATGTTTTTGATCGAAAACTGTGCCGATTAACAGATTAACCAAACCCATAAAAATATAAGACGCCACGTGTTTTATTTTTCGAATCAAGAAATTATATATAAAGAGATATTTTTAAAAGCGATATCACTTTAGATGAAAAATATTTAGTCAATCGAAAACACAATCCCATCTTCTTTAAAATTAATAGAAATTCAACATCTAAATTTCACCTTTATTTACAGAACACGACTTCGTCTGGAGAGCCTAGAGGACGCGGTGATTGTCGAGGGGGACGACGACAAGCTGACTGACCGACGGGGCTGTCCAGCGTATGTGGCGCCAGAAGTTCTGCGCTCGGGGCGAGCTTATTCCGGCAAAGCGGCCGACATCTGGTCGCTTGGCGTGCTTCTTTACACGATGCTGGTCGGCCGTTACCCGTTCAATGACGCTGAGCACGCGTCCCTATTCGCCAAGATCTCGCGTGGACAATTCGCTGTTCCAGAAGGCCTTAGCCCTCGCGCTCGATGTCTGATTCGCTCGCTGCTGAGAAAGGAACCGTCCGAAAGGCCGTACGCGGAGGACGTGCCGAGGCACCCGTGGCTCGCAAAGCCGTTACGAGTCTGCACCGCGTCAAACAGATCCTCGTGTCAGGATCAGATCGTACCAGAGCTACCTAACAATCCTCAAGACTGACTCTTCCAGGAGAAGAAGATATATTCTGCGCGCGTTGGACCCAGCTTTCCTTGTTAATCCTCTATTTGGTTGGAGATAATAGAGAAAAAAACCTTGTTCCGAGTTAACATGGCTTTTGTCTTTTTTCTTCTTCATTTTTTTCTTTTCATTTCTTTTCATTTCTTTCTTTATACGATGATAATGTAAAGTCAGCTATAAATATATTTTACGACGAGAGTGTGTAAAAGACCGTAGAAGAGTGAGCGATATTTGCTATTTGTTTAGACATAGAATATATGGTAAAACATATTCCTTGTCCAATTGATCACCGTCATGGATCACGATAGCTAGCAGAACTAGAAAGCTTCGTTATAGACGGGCAAAGACATTAATACATTGCTGTTCGAGTAAAATGAATTTCAGTGAGAATTGAAGCGTCAGAAATTTAAGATAATCGTTCTTTTTCTTTGGTTAAATTTCATTCAGATTGTTCCAACATTTTAACCAGATTGTAAAGTCTTAAATAAACTAAAATAAACATAACTGAAGAAGATAACACTGAAGTAATGAACATTGTTTGAGACAACGTCTTCTACATATTAAAAAAATGAAGCAAACAGCTACAAATTTGCACCTTGTGAAACCTTGTGCCAATAATTCAGTAAATTATTTTATTATTTCCTTCCCCAATTACTTCATTAGTTATGAAAGAACACGATTTTATTACACAATATAATTGAATATCTACAGCTGGCTTAATTTATAGTTGTAATATGAACTTCGTAAAATTTGCCGCGTGCATTTTCTTCCTTTCTTACATGTGATGAATACATCATTCTTATAGGAAGAAATATAAAAACGCAGTTATAAAATCAATTGGCAAGATGAGAAATAAACATGTGTTTGGAATGTCTAAACCAGGGATATCGAAAGAGCAAAATTGTATGCGTGCGTGCGTGCGTGCGTGTGTGTGTAATATAATAATGTATAAATCAGAATAAGTGTTATTTGGTTTATATTTTCGTGCGCAGGCTGTGTATAAAAGCTATGTTAACTATCGAAAAAATACCAAATAAAGGGTTAAATATTAGCTGTTGCGTCAAGGGATCATCCCGGTCCCAAATCATCATTCGTTCTTTTTTTTCTGTTTCGTTTCGTCGATACGACGAAAAAGAACGGCCTAGAATTTAAGGAGTCGATATATGCATATTGTGTTTCAGTTGGGAAACATTGTAGAAGATCTAACGGGGGATAATCGTTGTTCCAGTTTGATTGTTAACAAAGTCCTACGAGCAATTATTTATTACTTCAATTCAATTTGTTCTTTCTGTAATGGAAATGCGCTATTACAAATATTTCATATGTAATTAATAAAAAATATAATTCTAATATATTTCTAGTTTTATTGAAGTTATTTATTTTAGACTCATGCTAAGCTCGTATGTCTTTGTCCTTTCAACTTTCATGCATCTATTGAATTCGTTGAAGCATTACAATTTGATTATTTACGGTCTGCACATGTAAAAAATAAATGCATATTCCCTTTTGAAGCAGAGATACATGTACCATGTACAGGCAGCATTAAGGTAAAGGAAAACAATTGTTAGTGATATAAACTAATTCATTAAAACTCTTATCAGTTGATATTTTTTCGGTTGCTTTAAAAAATATGTATTTCGATTTTATTTGTTTAAACATAATAAAATTGTATTTGTATAATCTAAGATATGAAAGATTTTATACGCTGTATACAAATTTTACATAGTCTTACAAATTATCTACGTATAATCGAGCATTACGTTTTACTTTAATTTCGACAAATTAAAAATTTTCTAACTTTTCCGTATTTATATATTACATTCTTAAACAACATTCTTGTCAAGTTATACGCGTTCGTTAAAAGTTGAACGATTAAATCCTTGATCTTCGCTAATGGTTTGCTTCGAAGAAAGTATCGAACGTTGTATTTGATATCTATACAAATTTATTTGTAATTCTCACGAAAGTATAGTGCAGAATTATTGTATGTATATGTTGAATATGTGTATAAGAGACATTTTTCCTTCATATTTTGTATTGCAATTTTTTCTGTACACTGGATACTGTGTGTTTACTTTCAGTGTACAATTCCTCATATCATTTGAGTCAAGGTACAATGGTGAAAACGTTTCACCGATGCTAAAACATGTATATAAGTTCAGTCCACTAAGTCCTACTAAATTCTAATAAATATTCATTAGGAAGATTAATAAGAGTTATGTACATAGGCAAATAAAGTGGCGTTTACGATAAATCATGACTATATTGTATATATTTCATTAATTGTAATTTCAAATATTTAAAAAATTTTACAATATAAATCAAATATTAGATATGAAACCAATGTTGTTTTTGCTATTAGTGCTTTATTAGATTGTATAACTATTATTTCTATGTATTGCTAATGTTTTATTGGCTTTTGAAGTATTGAATAATTTATTAAATGATAAATTAGCATCTGTTACATTATTTTTGTTGGTATATTATTTTGAACAGTATATTAAATAATGCACACATTTTATTATGTGTATTACATTGGAACAATAATAACATGTAAGTAGTTAATTTTTTATACTATGAGATAACAAAATATAACGATTCATCAGTTTATATAGTTCAATTTTTTAATTAAAATTTGCAACCTATAAATTTCTGCGAAGCAAATATCTTCGGTAGCAGGAACGTAATATGTATTAATAACACATACACATGTATATTATATATGAAAAAACAAATATAAAATTTGATCAAATATACTAAAAGTAGTAATAAAAAATATATTTCATAGTACACGATTAAGTTAATAGAATAAACAAAAATGTAACTTACTCTTCTATGGAGGTTAAAAGATCAAATTACAGTTTAACCACTATGACAAAATTAATGTATCTAAAATCTTTGAAACCTAGGGAAGTTAATACTAATTTATCTTCTATAATTTTACAAATACATATTTGATACATCAAATTTTTTTTTATAATTTTATTATTTTGAAAGCTATTACACTTGTATATATAAGAATAGAATAAGTATGTAATTGGTAAATATTTTATTTAGCAATCTTAAGATTTATAACAAATTCATATTCCTTACAATTATAGAAATTAAATGTTACTAATGCAATAACTCATTTTCTTTGCAACTGAAATCATTCAAATCTAATAAAATGAAATATTAAAAAATAATCAATATTTTCCTTTCATGAGTATTAAATTTTCAAACAATTTTCGCAGATTTGAAAACTGATCATTAATAGAATTATGCAAATTAATCATCGCCTAATCAATTTATTTTAAACGTATCATCCCGCCGTAATATAGGATATAGTTGTAATCGCATTGAATGAAAAATGGCCGCAAACGTAAGAACAGGTGAGTAGGATGTACAAACCTGTCAATGGTGATACCCGTCAGTTGAAGAAAATTAACCGATCTTCTTAGTTCAGGAAAGTATGTACAATGTAAACTTAAATTTCATAGCCCATTTTCCACGTGTTCAACTTTCCAATTAAATTTCATTACTACGTCATGTTTTTGTCCCGTACATCAAATTGAAATATATTGCAATTTATTAAATTCGTAATCGTTATTCTAAATTTGCATCACGTCAAAAGATATCTGACATTTGGTAGTGGGCGTATAACTGTTGTATAAAAGCTTGATTGCTGCAAATACCGATATTGTTTTTCATAGATTACTTTTACACTTATGCTACGCATCTACATTCGTGTGTATAAATGTATAAGAGTAATTTATACGATGAGTGCCTGCCTGTGCATTGCACACCGTGATAGCATATCTCGATGAAATTGTTCTGAGGTATTGCTTCATTCCGTGGTTTGCTTTCAGAAATGCGAATTCCTACACGTTCTGCTCCTCGTCCACCTGTCAGTTCGACGGCACAAAGGAACGTTATTTGGAACAGCACGTAATTTAATATTTTTTTTTT